TAGTTTCAGTAATCCCATGGTAATTGAGGACACAAGTTATCTAAATGACTAATGTCATCTTTATGGCTTTCAGAAAGGACAGGAGACCGACAGGTGACTATCAAAGGACTAGCAGCAGCAGCTTGATGATGATGATGTTAAATGTGTTGTTTTAGGAACATCCATTGCAAATACATGGAATTCAATAAACATTGAATAGCATATCATGCAGTTTGTCTGTGCCTTTTCCTCCGTGTTGTCCTGGTTTGCTGTGCTGCCTCCTAGTCGCCACCATGGTTTGCTGTGCTGCCTGGGGATGCTCAAATCGCTTCGAGAAAGGAGTACGAATGTACGGCTTCCCCACTGACACAGAGCGGAGGAAAAAATGGCTGGCTCAAGTCAGCAGGAGCAATTTCACGACCAACAGCAAAATAATGTAATTATATACAACCACTGCATACAAACACTGCATTTGCACTTTTTCACAAACGAAAACCACACCATTGGGAAAGCTTAATGTTTTGTTTAATACAAAAAAACAGGGAAAGGCTTGAAAAACACAGAGTTGAGACTCAGGGTGCAGGGTGAGGGTCTCAGTACAGGTATTCAGGCTCCATTGAATCCCCCTCTGGTTCTTGTGCTGAAAGAGGGAGTAACAGACAGGAGAAAGGGTTATACACACCTATATAGCACACCTATTGGATGGGAAATTGCCTTGGGGAGATAAGGTGTTTACTTATATAAAACAGTAGTATTAAACTTACCTTGTGTTTTCACTCTCACTTAAGTCCCTCTCCCTTTGCCATCAATCCAAAATCAGCTGAGCTGCAACATTATATAGACAGGTAATAATCAACATAATCACAAGGACACAATATGGCTCTGCTAAAAACACTCACTCTTACACGAACAAAGTTATATTTATCTAATATTTAACTCCCTCCACCCCCGCATATAATCCTGTTTAGAAGCCCCTCTTCTCTAATTCAACAACGTTGGACGAAATGACATTAAGAGAACGGAATTTACAATTAAAAGGCTGTTCAACGTGTGTTGCTAACTTGCTTCGGTATCCTAGCTTGATCTGTTATCTGTAAACGTTCCCTAAATCTACTGATTTAGGGATAATCCACTGACATCCTTTAATACACATGTTAATTTGAATCAGATGTACTGATAATATCCGCAATATAAATCTTTAAACTTCTTCTTACCTTTAAAAGTCCGTCACGAACGGTCTATTATGCTACAACTCTGCTAGCCTTGGCGCTAACTTCCGGGGAACGATTGAGAGGCTCCACGATCCGCCATTGCTGTAAAAAAAGTGGTCCATTGGAGTGAACGGAGATGACGTAACTCTCAGTCTATATGGCGCTGGTTATTCCCCTTTAGTTCAGGCAAACAAAAACAATTTACTCAGGTGAGATATACAAAGAAAACCTCATTGTAGAGTATGTCTACAAATATCACAAAAAAACGTCATGGTGTAATATGTTAAAAAAAACCTTGATCAAATAAAAGATATCGGAAATAATGTGCAAAACTCGTTACTTTCTTACATTTTTTTATTGCACAAAAATGTAAAGTGAGTCATCTAAATGTAATAAATTCTTTACAATCATGCTGTCAAAAATTGCACAATGTATTAAAAAAAGCTTCATGAAAGTTAACATCAGTACATAACTACATTTATTTTGTCATACACTTATAGTATACATCTATAAATAGATTTTTTTGTACGTTTTTAAAGAGCTCAGTAAACGTCATGTTCACAACACGAACATCTGGACAAAATGGACATTAACGCAGATTTCCGTTAACCTTATCAGTGTGGGACACAAATAGATTCAAACCTAAAAAATTGTTTGTATCCAATGGTACATAATTATAGTAAAGTAGTTGATTATTTTACTATTTTAAAATGAACACTGTCCCAAAGGAATATAAAATAAAAAAGAATTTTTGCACATTGGGATTGGGTGGTTTTTTACACATTTGTTTGAGACCCGATCCAATCCTGATCCAGTGTTGGATTGGTTCAAACAATTAGCAACTGATCAAAGACCATCAATCTAGAGTTAATAAACGTTTGACCACGACTTAACAATCTTCAAATATTGTACCAATGAAACTCATGATCTAGTTTGGAATGTTGTATCCAATCATGTCTTGGTCTCACTTTTGGTTTTTGTGCAAGATGTTGGCCTTTTTGCCCAATTGAATCATCCCAAAAACTTTGTACAATACATGTTAAATGTTTTGACACAAGTCCAAACTTTTGGACCTGATTCAAGACCTCTAATCTCGAAATAAAACACTAACTCCAGAAATGTGTTCAAGATACTTTTTTATATCCAATCCCTAATCTTTCTTGACAAAATCTTGACCAAATTTCATCTGAATATTGTTTAGTTGTGATTCCAGTGCAACATTTCGTACCCAATCCCAGTCACCTAATCTCAATATATTAAACTCCTGACTTTGATTCCATTATATAAAACATTTTGTACTTAACCAAAGGGTTTTGTTATCCAATCCTGTCAAGGATTTATCCAACGATTTTGATCTGATCACATTTTTTACCCAAATTCTCCAAGGCATTAAACTCATTACCTTAATTTATTTGTCTCTAAACTTCAGTTCTAGTTTTTTGTACCAGTGTGTCATATTTTTTACCTGAGCTGATCAAGACCTTTAAGTCTTTGTACCCTAATTCAAGATCTCAAAGGTCAAGATAAAAACTCACGATTGGTTTGATCGCATTCAACACATTCAACTGATGACCTTAACTCGGTTATCTCAAAATGTGTGTACTTTTTTCTGTCTTTGTAACCGGTTTTGGTTCCTTAGTCCTTTCATCTCAAGAAATTAAACTCCTCAGGGTCATTTAATTATCTCCAAAATGTTGTACCTAGTCATGTTTTGTCCGAACTTTTGACCCTATATCTTTAGCATCCACACTTTTTGAACTGACTAAGACTGGAGTAAGAACAACAACTCTATAATGACACAGAGTCTTGGTAACCGTTGAACTATGTTCGACACATTTAAATAATCCTTAGATTCGATACGTTGTCAGTTGTGATCACATAAAAACTGAGATATTGGGTTTGAAGAAACTAAAATCAACCACAGCTGATCCTCTGGTCACAATGAAGTATTATTTTTCTTACGGTCCCACACCATAGTCAACTAAAACACTGCTACATTAGACAAAACATTTATAAAACCCATGAAGTCATCTTTCCAATCACTGATGTACACACATAACATCACAAACTGACGAGGAAGATAGCAAAATTCAAGGTCTTAAATCAACTTGCATATTTTTACCTTGAAACACACATCAATCATTTTCTCCTTTTACAAAATCTGCTGCTTCCAAAACATGACTTCTTCACCGGGCTGCAGACAGTCTGTCAAAATCCTTTCGTAGAAACTTTATCAAATGTGTATGTTTCATCCTTATATAGCACCATAAAACAAATGAGACGGTTAGACGTTGTTAAAGATTACATAGAAAAAGACAACACTAACCACACACACACACACACCCACCCACACCCACACACACACACACACACACACACACACACACACACACAACACACACACACACACACACACACACACACACACACACACACACACACACACACACACACACACACACACTTTGGATAAGTATTCAGCTTATCTACCTTCTTTAGAGTTATTAGTAATTCAAGATTAATTATTAAATAGAGTACATAAGATAAAATAAATAAATAACTGACTTGATAATTTTGTTCACAACATTAGACCTGTCCTCTAATCTAGAGTTAGATGATATCTGACCTGTTGATTCATCATGCCTCTTCCCCCTGAACAACTAGCACCCAAGGAAAGTAGTTGCAAAATACTTGTGATAATAATCACAGTCAAATTCTGAGTAACTAAATCAAATATGAGAACATATTATAATAATTTGGAGTTACTTGGTAACAATGATGCAATAGAAAGTCAACATTTTAGTTGCTTTGACAAGGCATTGCGAAAATGTAGTTACAAATTATGAAATGAAAAGTCAAAATGTTAGAGTATGATAATACATTTCAGATATTTACTTTAGCAGGAATTGTTGGAGGAAGTCAAAGTTTTAAGTCAAAATAAAACAAAATTAAACGTTTACTCAAATGTTCTCTTTACTTGTCATAAGAGTGTCCATAGTTTAAATTATATTTACCTACATTAAATACAATGTAATTTTCAGTGTTAATTTTGGCACCAAATTTGAATGTCTTTTTGTGATACATTTGACATTTAAAGCTCACTAAAACATTATGTTAACGTTAGCTCTCTCGTTTAAAAATTATTATTTTTAGAGTTGTTTTTAGGTTTATTTTTATTTTTTTTAAATATCCAGCATAGATTGTTCACGGACTGTTATCAACTAAACTAACTTGATAAGAAGAACATTTAGAATTTGGTTAGTTTTTATTTTCAAAGTTACTCCTTATTTAGATTGTTCCAATCTAAAAATGACAAAATCTAGACAAAGATATAATCAATTATTTGCAGTTGTCACTGACAAAAATCTAAATGATATTAGATTGACTTTTACACTGCAGTTGCTGTCGAGTGTAGCTGTACTATGATGAGTACTAGTAGTTAGTTAAATATGTTATGACAGTAAAGATATGTCAATGTTGAGTTTTTGTTTCACACAGGACATGAAATGTGAAACCTTGTGTTTGTTGGATCTGCCCATTCACCAAAATGTACAAATGTAATCCGGGAAGTATATAAATTACGTTTCCCTCCAATCTTAATTGACAATGCAGTTTTCTTTTATGAAAAGCTTATTTTTAGGAGCCCTGTCCGGTCAAATACAAACTAACTAGGCGATAGTCACATTCAAAATGATTCATTATTTAAACTCACTTGCTGTTTTTATAGATTACTGCAATTTAACCAAATCTACAATGGCACTTACATAGACAAGTGTAGACACAACTGACACTTAGCATTACAAAGACAAACACATTTCACAAATATTTTATCCAATAGAGTTTTTAAAGGCATCTTTTGTTTTATGTTGTCCTTTCACACCAAGGCCTTTTCATCTCAACAAACAGAGCATCTCTAAAAATGATTACTACTTAAATATTTGTAAGCATACTTATATTGTTTAGTGTTAAATTTAAGGTATGTCTTTTGTCTTTTTCTTTGTGTAGCTGTATTTAAAATACTTATTTAGTCAGTTTTTTTAAAATGACAATCTTTGCTAGCATTTTTAAATCAAAAATACTCTTCTATGTTTTTGAAATAACCTCTGCTATACCATATTATACTTTTTTGTTCCAAGATCCATTTAATCCTTACTTAATAAACTTTTTGTGAGGTATCAATAGTTAGCGAAATAAAACATTCATCATAACTCTTTTAGATGTCGGACAAAGTTGTTATTTATGGAGGGGAGTCTTAATGGCATCCTGACAACTTGATCCAAACCACAGCGCACACACACACACACACACACACACACACACACACACACACACAACACACACACACACACACACACACACACACACACACACACACACACACACACACACACACACACACACACACACACACACACACACACACACACACACACACACACACACACACACACACACACACACACACACACACACACACACACACACACACACACACACACTTTTAAATGACTGCTAATCTCAACATGACATTACACAGCATCCAGTATCATCATTACGTCAAGAGTTTTGACCCTTGGACACACAACATCAACACCTAACAAATTCTGGCTTTGTAAAAAATCATCATACAAAAGTTCCGTTATTTTTTCCTCGGTAGATATACAATTTTCTCAGAGGAACCAAAGATGAGTAACACTGTCCTGGACGTAGCTGTGCATCATCAGCTTCATTATCTAAACTTTCTCTGCATTCTGTATTTCTTTGCCCTGGTTGCTCAGTCAGAAAACTCTTAAGAGCATGTAGTGAACGTTCCAACAGCCATAGGACCGTTTTCCTTACATGGTTAAGAAACCAGCAAAATGGCGGCAGACATTTTTAGAATGGATGATTAAGGGCCCGGTCAGACCAGAAATAATGATATAAGAAATCATTTCAGCTGAAAATCAATTTCTTTCAAAACTAATTACAACAATTTGCTCATTTAGAAATCCTGATAAAATCACAATCTCTTCATAATTGGCTATTGACATGCTAGTTAGCTGGAGGCATTTTGTTGATGGCTAGTGCTACTGTAGTTCTAAAAAACTATTAAATAGACTTTAAATAGCGAAATACACAATGAAGTCATTGTGCTGAGATGTAATTAAACATTTACATGTTGTCTGGTTAGCGGCTGATAGTAAGTTCTTCACTGGCAGTAAGTAAATAATATGTTAGCTTGGCATGCTATTGTGGCTGGTTAAAATGATTCCAGTAAAAACACTGCAGCTCTAATAAAACAGATTTTTGCAAGATAAGAATAATACAATAATGTTAATAAAACAATTTGAGCCAGTAAAACATTTGGCTGGTATGAAACAGTTAGTTGCCTGCTAGCTTAGTGTGCAATTGTAGCAGGCTAACATGTTTTCTGCAAAAATGCTGGAACAAAATTAAAGGAACAAAAGCCAAATGTGATATTTTCTGTTGAGAATGGAGCAGCTTCCTAACTGGCAGTTAGCAGCAAGTTAGCTTGGTGAGCTATTTTGTCTGGTTAACAAAAGCACATTCCAAGCTAGCATGTTAACAAATAGCTTACATCCGTAAATAGTAATTTTGCAATCATATACCATTTATATTTAGCTGCTATATTAAATATTCTCTTATTTACAATTAATATATTTTAATTTAATAACCCAAATATATTTCATTATTCCTCGTACTACTCAGACAGATACACAAGGATTGTAATACTACGTTCAGCAGTCTTCTTTATACATTTGTTTTTGAAAAGTTAAGTAATGCATAATGTATTTATTTTTATTATTTAAAGTTATAATTTTGAGATACTGAACTGTAACTGGCTTATTAAATATCCACATGTCTACGTTTATAAATGGGAGAATGTAAACTCACCTTAGAAACAACACCTCACAAGACATTAAGACCTGAATGTAGCTCTCAACCCAACTACCTCACAAAGCTTTAACTCAACCTAGAATTTAAGTCACTTTCTTGTCTGACCGGGCTAAAAGAGAAAGACTTGACGTAAAACTGGGAAAAAGTTAAGTAAGCTACTTTTGTTATAAGTTTTGAAACGAAAAGCTTTTTTAAAAAAAAGAGGTTTGGCCGAAGCGAAGTGCATTATGTAGCTTATTTAGCCTGTTCAAAGTGTCCAGAATTATCTGATTTAATCACAGTAGATACGTTTGATGAGTATTGAAACTCACGATTTCAGAAAAAAACATTAATGGAGAGATGAAGACAGAGAGGGATGAGTTACTGCTTCATGTTGGTGAAGAATCCTGCAGAAGATCCATTGGTTTCGCTTTCAGTCCTTTCAGAATAAAACTCACTTGCTTCCAAGTTCTCTTCTTTAATCTGTGAACCTGCAAAAACAAAAGTAGAGATTTAGAAAATCCCTTGAAACAGTTCTGACATTTTATAGGGAAGTTATAGAAGTGTTATTAATATTTTAAAGTTTGGTGTTGTCGTTAGTAATGATTTTTAAATTGTATTTTATTGCTTTCTTCTATTTATTTATTTTTTGTTGAAGTCATTGTTTTATGTTTTGATCTTTAATACTAGTTGTAATTATTAGCGTTGTTTTTTTGTGTGTTTTTAAGTATATTCTTTCTATGTTTTTTTAATTATCTGTGTTTACATGGAAAATAAGCATTGCATTGCATGTTTTACAATGACAATGTTGCACAATATTAATGTAATTATTATTATGTTTTTAATGTATTTATTTGTTTATTGTTATATATTCATATTTGAATTTTTTTACATATATTTTTATTTTTTGCAAACAATATGTTAAATGCTTGCTAATATTATATTTAATTTATAAATACCCAAGGCCATAGACATATGCCATGGGAAAGGAGACAGTGAGAGGAGAAAATTATGAACTGTGTCAAAGGTTGAATACCTAGGCAAATTATTCCCTAACATATTGTATATTAATTCTCAGTCCACCGCCGTTAACAGCAGTGAAGCACAACTTGTGTTAGTACTTTTACCGCAGTATAGTATCTGAATGTTACAACAGTATTTATGTATTTGTGTACCTGCTCCCCCATCAGTGTTGGGGCTGCTCTCCAGGTCAACTGGGGGGGGCGGGGCTGCAGGAGTGGGGGGTGATGGGTAATTTGGTGGTGTCACGTTCTCGTCTCCTGATATGCTCCTGGAGATGCCCGTTACTATAGTGCCAGAGAAGCTGACCGGTCGCTTAGCAACAGGCAACTTCCTCTCTGAGGGGAGAAGAAGGTGAAGTCAGTAAAACTGTGAAAAGTAATACATGATGAAGCAAAAAGTATTCTTACAACACTAAAATAAGTTATATTATTAAATCAGAAAACAATATTTACACACATTTTATTTGAATTATCCTGCTAATTCACAATAAACAATAACAATAGTTACAAAATATATATATTCAGGTTCAATTTATATTTTTGAAATATAAACACAGACACATGCATTTTTCTAAATTATAAGAGAGGAAGGGCAACGCGTTTGGGCTGCAAAAAAGATAAACATAAAAATATATTTTTTACCAAATTCTTATAATTTAACGAAATAAAAAAGAAAAAACTATGATCTATCTATAATCTAACTATGAACATGTTTGCTTCAGTGTGTGTCCAGTGTTTACGTACTTTTCTTCTGTCCCTTATACTGCTGAGACTTCTTCCTCTGTTTGGATGCTGACTGCAGTTCTCTGGAGCCTGAAAACAGAGGCTAATATTATAACTGGTAAATTAGGTAGAATAGGATTTCAGTGATCGCTGCGTAGAATCGTTTCAAACTTGTATGATCCAACTTTTACAAATAACTCAACAACATTGTAACGTACAAAAACTGACATTTTCCTAAATAACGATTATACTTCAAAACACATGTTTTTTTATCTAATTTAATATCATTAAATTAAGTTTTTAGACATTAATGGCACCTGATCAGATCCAGGAGAAGTCATGTGTGGTGTTCCACAGGGATCAATCTTAGGACCACTACTACCAAATCTAATATATGTAAATATAAGTGCTGGGCATCGATTAACATTTTTAATCACGATTAATCGCATGATTTTCTTCTTATGCGCAGACATATCTGTTGATATTTTTTCTCAGACAGTATGAGTTACCCGCAGTGACAGCAGGCGGCTGCAGCTGGTATCCGGTCAGCTGACACCACCCCACCGGGTACAGGTCAGGTGACTCACAGTCCACCCACTGATCGTACTCATCCTCCCAGCCATCGAAGTGTATCCGTAGCAACCGGTGGACAATGCGTGTCACCGTGGCGACGCAGACAAGCCGCGGCTCCATGAGGTCCACGGCCTCCAGCTTCATGCCGGGGCAGAATCCGTGGTTAGGGACTTCCTATGAGGGCGGGGCGGAGGACACACATCAGGAGTTATTTATACAACTACATAAAAGAAAATATTATCAAAAATGTTATTATTATTTTTCATTTTTGTCATTACGTTTTATTCATATGATTTGTACTTTTCATGGTGATATTATAATTGTAATCATCATATCATATCATCAATATCAAAAATATTTGAAATTCAAAACCGAAATGTTTTTTTTTGCAATAAATGACAATAGAAAACAACAAAACAACAAACAAATAACAAGATTCAATAATTAAAAAAATAAAATAAAAAGAGAAGATAAAATCAAATAAAGTAATCTTTAAATTTTTTTTTTTATATATGTTGGATATTTATTATTGTTTTGCCTGAAAAGGTGAATTATAATTATTATAATAATAATTTCACAACCGCGAAATATGGGTTAGGGTTTTTGCTTCCATAATAATTTAAGACATAACCACAAAAATCCTTATACTTGAGATACAGGAGCCATTTTGATGTTTGCAGAGGCTCACCTTGTTGAAGAGGTTGACGGGAGCCGCCAAAGACTTGCTCTCCTTCAGATACTCAAACCATCTGAAGGGAAGATTGCTGTAACCTTGAGACACAAAAACAACATTAATCCACAGCTCTTATTCTAACAAATGTTAGTCTCTGAAACTGATCTTATTTCTCTTATAACTTGGGATCTTTAAAGTCTCAGTTTAATTAAAGTAATATTAGGGGGAAAAAACAGACTGCGAAAGTGAGTCCTATTTATTTTGGTATTGGATAAATAATGATTATTTAAAGGTCCCATGTCATGGCCATTTCTACTGATCATAATTCCATTGTTGAGGTCTACTAACATAGAGTTATACTGTGCAATTTTCCGGGACGTAATGTAACGGCTCCACGGATTGGTTTATTTGGACCAATGGGTCTGTGATGCCCCTGTGGGTTCATCAGTAGAGAGGAGGTGGCTGTCCTGTCTGTGCTGTGGTGATTGCATTGATTGCAGTAACGGCCCGTCCACACTACAGCTTCAAAAAAAGCTTGGAGCTGGGCGTGTCTGAAGCTTGGGGATTTTATTCGAGCAACGCGACCAACAACCAATCACATGAATCTCCCGCCCCCGACATACAAAGCAAAAAACCCCGGGGATTTTATGCGAGCAATATATATATATATATATAAACTCCCCAAACAGGCGAAAACCTACCAGTTTCACCCACTGTCTCTGCCACCTCCCTCCATGACTGGTTCTTCCGGTTTGTATCCCGGTAGGTGAAGAGGGTCATACAAAACCGGGTGATTTGCTACGGCGATAATTAGTTTCTCCTCCATCTTTTTTGGAAATATAGAAATGAACGGCGGGATATCTCTCCCAGCTTAGACGCGGTTTGATTGGCTAGGGCTTGAGCTGTCAGATTTTCAGAAACGGGATTTGATTGGCTGGCGCTGGCTACTCCGGCGTCAGAAGTTCAACTTCTGACGGAGACGGACCGCTATGCTACCCACAATTCAGTTCGGCGAAAAGCGAGGCAACGTGACGTCACCCCATTCAAAGTGAATGTATGTCTTTGTATGTCGGGGATGGGAGATTAATGTGATTAGTTGTTGGTCGCGTTCCAAGAAAACAATGGAAAAAGATAAATGTCCAACGAGGCGTTCTGGGGCAGCATAGACAGGTATTTTCTGTGTTAAAGTTTTACTCGCTACAGGGTGTACTTTGAGGGTTTGTGACTCTGCAGACCGTTTACATGCATACAAAGCTACATAACACACAAGGGGACGGGTAATAACCAGAAAAGCATGACATGGGACCTTTAAGATAATGAACTTACCATTAAATAACTAGAATTGTTTTATACAGTGGAGGAAATAAGTATTTGATCCCTTGCAGATTTTGTAAGTTCACCCACTTACAAAGAAATTAAAAGTCTATAATTTAAATGGTAGGTTTATTTGAACAGTGAGAGTAAGAATGTCAAAAAGAATATCCAGAAATCTACATGATATAAAAGATAACAATTGACTTGCATTTAACTGTGGGAAATAAGTATTCGATCCCCTTGCAACCAACAAGGATTCTGGCTTCCACAGTCCTTTAAAAAAGTACTCCTTATATCAACTTGTTACCTGTATAAAAGACACCTGTCCACAGAATCTATCAGATTCCAACCTCTCCACCATGGGCAAGACTAAAGAGTGGTCTAAGGACCTCAGGGACAAGGCAAGGCAAGGCAAGTTTATTTATATAGCACTTTTCAACACAAGGCAATTCAAAGTGCTTTACAAAAATGAAAGACATTAAGGAAATGGCATTTAAAATCAGTCATTAAAAAGAAAAGCTAATAAAATAAACATTAAAAGAAAAAATACATGGATAAAAGTTACAGTGCAGTTTAAGATGTGAATAGTTCAATTAAAAGCAGCGACAAAAAGAAAAGTCTTCAGCCTGGATTTAAAAGTAGTCAGAGTTGTAGCGGACCTGCAGGTTTCTGGGAGTTTGTTCCAGATATTTGGAGCATAATAACTGAACGCTGCTTCTCCATGTTTAGTTCTGACTCTGGGGACAGAAAGCTGACCAGTCCCTGAAGACCTGAGAGATCTGGATGGTTCATAATTTAGCAGGAGGTCAGAAATGTATTTTGGGCCTAAACCATTCAGTGCTTTATAAACCAGCAGCAGTATTTTGAAATCTATTCTTTGACACACAGGAAGCCAGTGTAAAGACTTCAGAACTGGAGTGATGTGATCCACTTTCTTAGTGTTAGTGAGGACTCGAGCAGCGGCGTTCTGAATCAGCTGCAGCTTTCTAATAGATTTTTTAGTGAGACCTGTGAAGACACCATTACAGTAGTCGAGTCTACTGAAGATAAAAGCATGGACAAGTTTTTCCAAATCCTGCTGTGACATTAGTCTTTTTGTTACAGCTGCTACCTTCGTTATGCCATTAACTCTGTTTGTGTGTGCATATGTAAATGAGCTGTGCAGTTCCTCTGCTGTCATTGGCCGTCTCGACCTCGCAACATCCGCGGAGATTGGACGGACGTCACCCAATCCCCGCCCGCTTCTGCCACGTCATCCGGGGGAGGAGTACAAAGGCCGGGCACGGACATCATTCTGGAGGCTCTGTATTGTGGGACAGACGCCTCAAGCCTCTCATTGTGATACTGCCATCTCCTGTGATTCCTTAGACTGCCTAGCAGTGTGTTAAGTAGGGTTTCTGTGCGAGTACACTGATTAGCAGTGTGTCGTAGTGTTCTGTGTTTAGTATAGGGTTTGTGTGTGTGTATTGCTTAGATCCAGGTTGCTTAGCTCCTGTAGAACAGCCTTTAGGATTATTGACATTGTGACACAGCTTAGACCCAGGTTAGCTTAGCGCCTGTAGATCAGCATTTGTGGAAGTATTGCTTAGACCCAGGTGATTAGCACCTGTTGATCAGCAACAGCTGTGTTCCCACACCTCCTCATTTTGTTTAGTGTTTTGTTCCACTTTAGAAGTGAGGTACTTTCTTTCTTTTGTATCATATTGTGTAACTCTCTTTTGGAGTTCGTCTTTTGTTAAATCGTAACAGTTTGGTCCGTTGTTGGTCCAGGCTGTACATTATTGTGTTCATTTTTTTGGTTACAAATAAACCACCGGTAACATATACCAATTCCAATCTGGTCGTGTCGTGTCCCTTTGGTCCCCCTAGCCCAATAGGGAACGTAACACTTTTAATCCTAGATATATTCTTTAGGTGATAGTAGGCTGATTTAGTAACTGTTTTAATGTGACTGTTGAAACTCAGGTCAGAGTCCATGACTACACCTAGATTTCTGGCTTTATCTGTTGTTTTGAACATTGCAGACTGAAGCTCAGCGCTAACTTTTATACGTTCTGCCTTGGCTCCAAAAACCATTACCTCAGTTTTATCTTTGTTTAATTGGAGAAAGTTCTGACACATCCAGTCATTGATTTGTTCAATGCACTTACTCAGTGTTTGAATTGGAGCATAGTCTCCTGGTGAAATTGTTACGTACATTTGTGTGTCATCTGCATAGCTATGGTAACTTATTTTGTTGTTTTTCATTATCTGAGCCAGTGGTAGCATGTAGATGTTAAAGAGAAGAGGCCCCAAGATGGAGCCTTGAGGAACCCCACATGTCATATTTGTCAACTCAGATGTGTATTTACCTATAGAAACAAAGTTGTTTCTGTCCTTTAAGTAAGATTCAAACCAATTTAGAACTGTTTCCGAAAGTCCCACCCAGTTTTCCAGTCGGTCTAGTAATATGCTGTGGTCAACAGTGTCAAACGCAGCACTGAGATCTAATAATACTAACACTGAAGTTCTGCCACTGTCTGTGTTTAAGTGGATGTCATTGAAGACCTTTACAAGAGCAGTCTCAGTGCTGTGGTTTGGACGAAAGCCTGACTGGAACACATCAAAACAGTTATTTAAATGCAAGAAATTACTCAACTGTTGAAAAACAACTTTTTCAATGATTTTACCTAGAAATGGGAGGTTTGATATGGGCCTGTAATTGTTCATTACTGAAGCATCTAGATTATTCTTTTTTAAGAGCGATTTAATGACTGCAGTTTTCAGGGCCTGTGGAAAAATACCTGAGTGAAGAGATTTGTTTACTATATGAAGTAGATCTGAGGCCATGCAAGGCAAAACATCTTTGAAAAATCCTGTTGGAATAATATCAAGGCAGCAGGAGGAGGATTTCAGAAGTTGAATAATGTCCTCTAGGTTTTTATCATTAATCTGATGGAATTGTGTCATGGTGTTTGAATTGATTTTAAGTGGAGATAGGGACAACACATTTGTTGTTCCTGATGCAGAGGCACTGACTGCTTGTCTGATTTTCTGAATGTTGTCAGTGAAGAAGGAGGCAAATTCATTGCACGCCCTGGTGGATAGAAATTCAGAGGCTACTGACACTGGGGGTTAGTTAGTCTGTCGACGGTAGCAAACAAGGCACGTGCGTTGTTTTTGTTTTTGGTAATGATGTCAGAGAAGAACGATTGTCGTGCGTTTTTCAATTCCAAATTATAAAGGCCAAGTCTCTCTTTATTGAGAGGACTATAGACCTGCACCAGGCTGGGATTGGCTACAAGGCCATCAGAAAGCAGCTTGGTGAGAAGGAGACAACTGTTAGTGCGATTATTCAGAAGAAGAATGTGTGTGTTTCTAAATGGGAGTAACACAAAATGAGCATCAGTCGCCCTCGGTCTGGGGCTCCACACAACATCTGGCCCCGTGGGGTCTTGATGATGATGAGGAACTTGTTAATGATCTCAAGGCAGCTGGGACCACAGTCACCAAGAAAACTGTTGGTAACACACTACACCATCATGGATCAAATCCTGCAGCGCCTGAAGGCCCCCTGCTCAAGAAGGACATGAGAGGCCGTCTGAAGTTTGACAAGGAGCATCTGATTGATTCAGAGAAGGCTTGGGAGAAGGTGACGTGGTCAGATGAGACATAAATGTTGATCTTTGGCATCAACTCGACACGCCGTGTTTGGAGGAAGGGAGATGCTGGCTATAACCCCAGAACACCATCCTCACCGTCAGGCATGCAGGTGGAAACATTATGCTTTGGGGTTGTTTCTCTGCTAAGGGGACAGGAGGACTTCCCTGCATCGAGGAGAGGATGTATGGGGCCATGTACCGTACAATCTTAGCCGATAGCCTCCTTCCCTCAGCTAGGACACTGAAAAAGGGTCATGGATGGGTCTTCCAGCAGGACAATGACCCTGAACATACGGCCAAGGCAACACAGGAGTGGCTAAAGAAGAAGCACATTTAGGTGATGGAAGGGCCTAGCCAGTCTCCGGACCTTAATCCCATAGATAATCTGTGGAAGGAGCTGAAGCTTCCAGAGGCCAAGCATCAGCCTCAACCTGAAGGATTTGGAGAGGATCTTCAGAGAGGAGTGGACCAACATCCTTCCTGAGATGAGCACAAACCTGGAGACCAACTACAAGAAGCGTCTGACCTCTGTGTGTCCAACACGTGTTTCTCCACCGAGTACTAAGACAGGTTTTGAAAGGGGATCAAATACTTATTTCTCACAGTTTAATGCAAATCAATTTTTATCTTTTATATGATGTCAATTTCTGGATTTTCTTTTTGATATTCTTTCTCTCATTAGTAAAATAGACCTACCATTACAATTAAAGACTGTTAATTTCTTTGTAAGTGGGTAAACTTACAAAATCTGCAAGGGATCAAATACTTATTTCCTTCACTGTATGGAGGAATTGTATTGTATGTATTTGTGGAGTCATAAACATGACACAATAACCAATAAATACCTCTGGGGGGCGTCAGCTCGATGTTGTTGATCTCACAGAACCCAGCAGGGAAGATGGATGGAGACATGGAGTGATAACAGAACCAGTCCGACCCGTCAGCCGCCTCGGAGCCGTCGATCCCGATCATCAGATACCCGTCGGCCAGCACCTGAGGAGGAGGACAGGTTTACTATCAGGTGATTAATCAGGTTATTTCAGATGATTCATCTAGTGTTTTTTGTATTCATCTTAATATTTTAGGTGATTACTCAGGTGATTTAGTTGTATCTGTTAATCAAGTGGATTCAATCAGATGATTAACTATCAGGCTTTATTCAGGTGATTAATCAGGTGATTTTTCAGGGACATTAGCTTCTCCCGACCTTCCTCACTGTGGCCACGCAGATGGCGGACAGGTTCAGAGGGTCGATGGCTTCTAGTTTCATCGTGTCTTCAAACCAGGAGCCGCTTTGATCCACCTCCTTCACCTGCAGATACATTACACACTCATATTATTATTATTTTTCCAAGCATTTTGTCTGTTGGACTGTACACGGCACATGAATGTCAGAACAACTACTAACTGCACACACACAGTGAAATATATCCTAAATCATGGATTCATAAAGTTACCTTAGCAAAGAGCTGTCCAGGAGCATCCAACTGAACACTCAGCTTCTTCGACACATCTGGAAAAAATAGTTTCATCTTCAATCTGCCTGCTTAAATTGAACATTTCCTAAATGCAGTCTGGTAACATCTGCACACATCACTGAGTCTGATCTATGATATTTTTAACACACATTTTTTATTTATATTTTATTGATTTATTATTGAGTTTTTTCCCTGTTTTTATATTCATTCTGTGTGTGTATTTCCTTATTGTGAAGTTCTTTGTGATGCAGTCCTTTATTTATATCATTAAATGAGTTGGAACCCACCGGATCGTTTGAATCTGTGTCCGATGGAGCGCGACCAGCCAATGCTGTGGATCAGAGGACTGTACATGTGACACCAGAAGTCGTCAGAGCCGTCGTCACACTCCTCGTACACCAGACGGAGGCGACCTCCGATCACCTGTAGCAACACACACATAATCATCGTCAATCATACTATACAATGACAGACGTCTCCATGTGTGGACCCCGATTATTGATTTTTTACTCAAAAAGCTCAAAATCATTAGAGATATTAGTTAAATGTTTCTAAATGCCAAATAACAACTTTTCAACGGCTAAGACTTTTAGCTAGATTTAGGGTTCATTTAGAACAACATCTCATGTTTGATTACATATTGTAAGGTTTTTGCAAACATCTCCTTTGTAAAGTAACTAGTCAAATACATTTATACATTTGAAAAGATATTCAAAATGAAGGAGCAAAAAAATCAATAATCCTGCACCACATGATTAACTTTCACTGTCATAAAATGTATTTTGAGAAAACCCAAATTTACCAAAATCCTTGGGATCATAAAAACATTACCCAGATAATTCAAAAAGACAGACAGAAATAAAAGAGACTTAATACCGCAATACAGCTTACATTTTTTTATTTTAAGGCGACATATGTAGAAAATATGACCAGGATGGGACTGGAGACGGCTTTAAAGATGATTACATTTTGAAAACCTCCAAACTTATTCTGCACAAGTATAATAAGCTTCATCAGTCTTATTTTGAAAAGAAACCCAAAGAAAAACCTCAAGAAAATAAAGGAACATTTTGGACAAAAAAACTAGACTTGATCCATAAAGCTTACCCAGATATATTTAAAGATGATCCTTAACATTATGATACTAAAAAAAGACTACTCTGCTACTCTTATAGTATATTATTTAGTACCATAAAGTCCTAATGAGAGCTTGTGCACTTAAGATGAGCAGGCTGTAGCATTCTTACAGTAAAAGCATGCAGAGACTTGCATTGAAGCACCAGCATATTCCCAACAGGCACTGCACGATTAAACAGGAATATGCATTACAATATAATTGTTCATTTATTTCATGTGTGAATATTGTGCGAGTCCCACCTGTTCCACCAGAGCCACACGAGTTCGACACAGGTGAGTTTTATCCACCACCTCCACCCTCATCTGCTTCATAAAGGGAACCTGCAGACTCTCCTGCACCTGAGGAGGATTACAAAGCAAGGACATTTTGAAAAGAGCTGCACAGAGGTGGGTTTCTCCATGGTCAATACTTTCATTAACTTTTTATTTTTTATTTTATTTCAAGCTTTAGCTCAAGTTCAATGCATTGTTTAGCCCCTGCTGCTGTAAAAAAGAAGAAGAAAACGAATGCCAATATGGGACGATTAAAATACATCTAATCTTATTTAACGTTATAATATGTTTCTTTGCATCTGATAGGAGCAACAAATCGGACGCCACATTACTGAAGTCAAACCAACATCTATTTAACCTACTTATTGTCAGCATTGTCCTGCAGTGCATTTTCTTTTCAATACAAAAAATAAACATTGAGTTTAAGTGCACTTAAATGCAGCATTACTACTATTCATGCTTATTTTACATAGTATGTGCACTATTTATCTTGTAGTAGCTCATATCTTCATCATTTATTTATTCACAAATACAAGTATACGACATGATGGCGACATGGGAAAAGGGACACCCAGATAAGCTGGAAAGTATGGGCCCAGACAGTAAAAAGTCCATTAAATATGATTAAAACATCTAGTATTGGAGAGGGTTCAAAATCATACCTAAAACTAATGATTTATAAACTAAACCAATCTAACCCTAACCACTAAATGTTCCAAAATATTTATTTCATCAGTAAACATTGATTTTAAATTGGTAACAAATAAGCACAGACACATTACAAGGGGAAATATTCATATATATATATATATATATAAATGCATTTCAGAGTAAGGACACTTGTGACTGTGTGTGTGTGTGTGTGTGTGTGTGTGTGTGTGTGTGTGTGTGTGTGTGTGTGTGTGTGTGTGTGTGTGTGTGTGTGTGTGTGTGTGTGTGTGTGTGTGTGTGTGTGTGTATGTATGTGTGTGTGTGAGACCTTGGAAGGAAAGTCCTGTGGCAGCGTTTTGGACCCCGTCAATCTTTTGATGAGGAAGGTCTTCCAGTTGGTGATCCTGTGCAGGATAGCTACATACACACATCATCAAAAACATAGTAAATTAATCTTTAGATGTATTTATGTTACTACTATTTATAAAGCTCATAAAGATAAATCATTATGCTAGCTAACTGAGGATATTTAGTCATACAAGCATAACATTTCATAACTTCAGATTTGCTGTGTTATGCAAGTGAAATGTAATTCAAAATTTCAAAATTTTCTTTTTTCTTATCAACTTAGATTTGTTAGAAACATGTTTTCAGCTTTAAAGGTCACCTATCATGCAATTTTTAGTCAATAGCATAGGACTCAGATATATAGAAATATATAAAAAACATGTCTATGAAGTGTTTTGCTCAAAATACCTAACAGATCACCCATTCTAGCCATGCCTCATATCCCTCTATTTCACAAAAAAGAGGGGGCGGAGCTTATGCAGGACCTGGCAGATACTTTCTAAAATAAATGCTGCGGTGATGAAACACCACATCAAGGATTATTTCTGAAACAGTATGGTGCTCAAAGGCTTTCTCTCAATCGATATCTTGTTTGTGTAGATCCGATATGTAATAAGGGTATTTATACCTAGATTTCTGTGATGAGTGCGTTAGCATTTATTTGCTTAGGGCTAATTTAGAAGCTTCTTATGAGACTTGTGTTTTGTTTCGGTAAAAATGGTTCGTATCGTCAGTTAGCTGAGTTTCTTCCCGTTAAATGGGTATGACACATTAATAGGTTTTTAAATGTTAAGAAGCCCTGAGACACAGTTTTGTGAAAAGAAAACCTGCAGCTCCCGCGGGCGGGGGCCTCCGGGTTGAACAGGTTAAGAAGTAAAAGACAAGCATAAGTTTAATTATATATTTTTAATTTGCTGAGGGCCGATGCAAAATGGTCCGCGGGCCGTAGTTTGGACACCCCTGATCTAGAGTAAAACACATTGTCACCAGGGGCGGACTGGGAGGAAAAAGTGGCCCAAGGATTAATTGACAGACAGGCCCACTTAATGCGCAGCATGTATCGGCCGGCCGGTGACGAAAAACAAAAAAACCCTATGCATTTAATGTTATTTTGGACAATTATTCATATAGTAATCACATTACCTGAGCCCTTGAGTTGCCTAGAGCAAAAATAGTTACAGCATATATTTAGTGATTTTAATGTTAACAGATCATTGATGCAATAACATTTGGACCCAATTTGCCTGAATGGAATAAAACATGGGCGTAGGAAGCATCCTCAATGTCGGTGAGACAATTTAACAGGGGGTGTGGGCAGGTGGTAGACCTTACCTCCTCTAGGGGGGTCCGGGGGCATGCTCCCCCGGGAAGATTTTTTTTTTTTAAATGTTGAAGTTAAATGCGTCAATCTGGTGCACTTTGAGAGCAAAATTAGGGACTAAATCTATGGATGCATCTCTCAACACCCATATGAAACAGAACTGTAAACAGATTTACTTTTTCTTTCAACATTTATTTGAACAGCAAGTGGAGGCAAAAGTGACTGCACCTAAAACAATAAACCTGCTAGCTAACTAGCCTAAACTCAGTAACAGAATGTGGGCAAGACGTTCTTCTCCACAGCTGCGCGACCTCTGAGTCAGACGTCACTTCCCCGTTTTCTATCCTACGGGTACAGCCGTACAGCCACTCCCCCTGAACCCCGTTTCCCTGCCAACCCCCCCTCTCCTATGCAAGCCCCTCCCTCTGAACCCAGGGCTTGCCACAATACTGTATACTGTATACACAAACTATACAAAAACGCCTTTACGCTTTGGAGCTTGTTTATCCATCTGTAAGCAACTTCCAGCTAGGTCTCTCAGTCACTCACTCCTGATCGTTCACTGCGCAGTGACAGCTGCTACGGAGCTGATGTGTGAAAGTGAAACTATCTGATAGCCTATCAAAACGGCCCAGCCCAGCCCAGTGGGGTGTGGGCCACACCCCGGAACACTTACAAATGTGGGCCGGTAGGATTTAGGAAAATAAAAAAATATTTATTTATTTTTATTTTATTTTATTTTTAAAATAAAATATTTGTTGGGCCCTCCGGCCCACGCACAGCACCGGCCCACCGGGGAAACTCCCGGTATTCCCAATGGCCAGTCCGCCCCTGATTGTCACTAAAGCATGTTTAACTCTGGCTCTTTCTCTGGAGAATTCAGAAATCACTTTTGCAGGAGTTATATCTACTCCACCAGAGTTGTTAGTCTTACTCTGAGGGGGCACCAGGGGTTTCCCCCCAGCAGCACACCAGCCCACCGGGTGGATGTCCGGCACACACAGGTTCAGCCAGAAGTCTCGGGTGGAGTCGCCGTCGAAGCCCTCATACCGCATCAACGCCTTAAAACCTGCACACACACAACATGTCAGGAGACATTAGAAATGAGAAGAACTGTATATAATTAACTGTTTAGGTGCTAAGCATTATTTTGGATAAGCATACAACAAAACAAGCCAAACACAATAAAATAAAAGATCATTCAAATGTAGTGATAGGGACGAATGAATACAGAAATGCAGAAAGACAGACAGTGAGAAAACTACAATTAAATTCAGAAAAGTATTTTTATAAAAAGTTGTTTAAAGTCCATCCATCCATCTTCTCCCGCTTATCCGTGGTCGGGTCGCGGAGGTAGCAGTTCCAGCAGAGAGCCCCAAACTTTCCTTTCCCTGGCCACATCAACCAGCTCTGACTGGGGGATCCCAAGGTGCTCCCAGGCCAGCGAAGAGATATAATCCCTCCGCCTGGTCCTAGGTCTACCCCTTGGTCTCTTCCCAGCTGGACGTGCCTGGAACACCTCCCTAGGGAGGCGCCCAGGTGGCATCCTAACTACACTGAACAAAAATATAAACGCAACACTTTTGTTTTTGCTCCCATTTTTCATGAGATGAACTCAAAGATCTAAAACATTTTCTATATACGCAAAATAACCATTTCTCTCAAATATTGTTCAAAAATCTGAAAAGATCTGTGATAGTGAGCACTTCTCCTTTGCCGAGATGATCCATCCCACCTCACAGGTGTGGCATATCAAGATGCTGATTAGACAGCATGATTATTGCACAGGTGTGCCTTAGGCTGGCCACAATAAAAGGCCACTCTGAAACGTGCAGTTTTGCTTTATTGGGGGGGTCTGGGGGGGTCCGAAAACCAGGCAGTATCTGGTGTGAGGGGTAGGGTTAGGGGTAGGGTTAGGGTTAGGGTAATGTTGTGAATTGAGTGGCCTGTGTTCGTCGTCCATTACATACGCCTGCCCATACCATTACCCCACCACCACCATGGGCCCACTCGATTCACAACATTACCCTAACCCTAACCCTACCCCTAACAAGGGTTAGGGTTAGGGTGCCCGAACCACCTCAACTGGCTCCTTTCGACGCGAAGGAGGAGCGGTTCAACTCCGAGTCCCTCCCGGATGACTGAACTTCTCACCTTATCCCTAAGGGAGACACCAGCCACCCTGCGGAGAAAACCCATCTCGACCGCTTGTATCCGCGATCTCGTTCTTTCGGTCATGACCCATCCTTCATGACCAATCCTCCATGACCATAGGTGAGGGTAGGAATGAAAATGGCCGGGTAGACAGAGAGCTTTGCCTTCTGGCTCAGCTCTCTTTTCGTCACAACAGTGCGGTAAAGCGACTGCAGTACCGCTCCCGCTGCTCCGATTCTCCGGCCCATCTCACGCTCCATTGTTCCCTCACTCGAGGACAAGACCCCGAGATACTTGAACTCCTTCAATTGTGGTAAGGACTCATTCCCTACTTGGAGTGGACAGTCCATCGGTTTCCTGCTGAGAACCATGGCCTCAGATTTGGAGGTGCTGATCCTCATCCCAGCCGCTTCACACTCGGTTGCGAACCGATCTAGTGAGTGCTGAAGGTCGCAGACCGATGAAACCATTAGAACCACATCATCTGCAAAAAGCAGTGGTGCAATCCTTAGTCCACCGAACTGCAGACCCCCTCCCCCATGACTACGCCTCGAAACCGATCCATGTATATTACAAACAGGATTGGTGACAAAGCGCAGCCCTGGCGGAGGCCAACCCTCACCGGAAATGGGTCCGACTTACTGCCGAGGACCCGGACACAGCTCTTGCTTTGGGAGTACAGAGATTGGATGGCCCTGAGTAGAGACCCCCTCACCCCATACTCCCGCAGCACCTCCCACAGTAACTCCCTGGGAACTCGGTCATACGCCTTCTCAAAGTCTACAAAACACATAGACTAGATAAGCGTACTCCCAGGCCCCCTCCAGGATCCTTGCGAGAGTAAAAAGCTGATCCGTCGTTCCACGACCAGGACGGAATCCGCATTGTTCCTCCTCTATCTTGTTTAAAGTCAACATGTAAACATTTTGTGACTGTGAAGCACTTTAAAATGGATTGTGTGAGTCAAAACTCCAATTTATTGTGCACCACTATAATAATCTACTAATTTGAAAAAATTAGTAGTGAACTAACGAAATTATTTGGACAATCGATCAAATCAGATTATTTAAATTGAATAGAGACATAAAGAAAGTAAAGAAGGCTTAATACAGTAAAGCATGTTTATAAAAAATTTGATTTTAGTCGACATTTAGCATAAACCGTGCTTTTAAGATGATGAAAGTGAGTAGTGACTCCAAACTAATTCTACACCAATTAAGGGAGCTTTATCTTGGCTATATAAAAGCACATTTAAAACAAGCCAAAGTGACACAATAACAGAAATAATTGGAACAATTGATCCAAAAAGGTAATTTGCATAACCCTAACCCTAATAAAACTAAGATGGAAAGAATGACAGATGACTTAATAATTAAATGTATGATTATAAAAACATTTAACCGGATGCGACTTTCGAGAGCGCTGGAAGGGTGATAACATATTAACTATATTAAAGCTCAATCTGTGATGAATTTCACTTTTGAAAAAACAACCAAGGAATAAGACAACGTAGACATAGCGGAGAGGCCTAAATGTTAGTCGTGGAATCTTTCTGGTTTGGCCATTTATGGTAAGATATTTGAAAATAGATTACATTTTGGATATAATATTTAAAACATTGTACCAGCTAGTTTGATGATGCCAGCGATCCAGTAGACCTTCATGGGCAGACCGCTGTCCGTATTAGTGACCTCCACCCGAACGCCTTCACTGATGTCGCCCCATGACCTCCCCATAGGGACCTAAACAACAACAACAACAACAACATCATATTGTGACATCAAACATTTCCGCAGAGAAAACAGGTGAGAGCTCCAGAAGGTAAGGTGTGTGTTCATGTGCTGTGTGTGTGTGGACCCACGTGTTTAAAGCAGTCGACCGGCGCTCCCGTGGCTTCAACGTCTTCAAGGTAACGACCCCAGTCGAACACCTCCACAGTTACTGCAGCAAACACACAAAGAACAGATGGCTTAAATACACCAGAAGAAGAATAAATACTTTTGAAAGTTTGACAACTTCTAACATCCAACGACAACGTGTCATAAGGAGGCGTGTGGCGCAGTGCATAGAGCGTTGGTGTTCGGATCAAGGGAGCACAGGTTCAAACCCCACTGCAGTCAGCATGTCGTTGTGTCCCTGGGCAAGACACTTCACCCCAAATTGCTCCTGTGGGGATTGTCCACAGTATTGAGTATGTAAGTCGCTTTGGATAAAAGCGTCTAACAAGTGACATGTAATAAGGATGTGGTGTTCTATATTTAAGTGCCAACAGTTAAAACAGTAACATACATGCTCACTATGATTAAAATGTTGTCCTATACATCTGAGTCATTCATAGTACTTCTCCAAAATCCAGTCAGTTTTAATGGAGTGTACCACCAGGATTTGAAGCCATTCATAGGTTGGTTAGTGAGTTAGTCAGTGTGAGGACTCACTGCTTTTCTTGACGCCGCCATGCTGGTTGGCCTGATGCTGAGCGTACGCAGCTAGTTTTGTCATCAGAGGCTGTTTCTGCAGAACCTTGGCCTTCTTAGTGGGCGGCTTCCCCTTTAAGACAAAGAGACAGAGACACAGAGACAGGTTATGCTAGGTGTTCTCCAATATCTATCTTTATGCAGATTATACTATTTCGTACTGCAATGCGATATCTCTCTTTACGCAGATGACAATAGTTAGAAAAGCTAAACGTAATAACAGAAATATTTCCAGTAATAGTAATATGAACTCCTGAAACAACAGCAGGTTAAAGAGTTGCTGTGTTTTTTTTACCTGCAGTCTGGCGAGGATGCTGGCCTTCTTGGAGTTGGACGAGTAACTCCTGGAGCAGGAGACGCTGCAGAAACGTTTGGTTTTACTGTAGAAAGCATCTCTGACGCCCACCATGCCACACATCTCACAGGTCGCTGAGAATTAGACATACGAATATAACTTCAGTCACTTTGTTATGACAAATACACATTGAACTAATAAAATAACATGTTCCTTGGATGACAAATAATCAGTTAAAGAATGAAGCTCCAAATATAATAAGATTAGAAGACAATGCTATGGTGCGATTAAACAAAACCCTGTGAAAGTATACCAAGTCTATGCAAAGAAGTGAAAAGAAAACAAGGAAACATTTAAATCCCGAGAGTGATTGGAGGAAATACGGGCAAAGCTTGTGTCCGTTGAGATTCTCCTGACGTTCTGACTTCAGAAGTGTCCGAAAAGTTTTTGTATTCATGTATGTTTAGTGGCATATTTTTTTACATCTCTTCATATGTATCTATTTCAATTTTTGCTAAAGTCTAGATGCTAAACGGCCTTTAAATAACAACTAATACAGATCTAAATAGTCTATTAATAGAGAACCAACATCTCCAATTCTTTGACTTGCTGTCTGTTTATCACAGTTTTGGGACGAGGAGGGGGATGCATCAGACTGACCCATGCCGGCCTTTCCGTCGGGGTATGTGTACACCTGTCCGTTGGTCTTGATGAGAGTCAGGGAGGAGGAGGAGGAGGGGTTGTAGTGAGACCCCCCTCCTCCCCCCAGCTCCTCCTCGTCACTGTCCTCGGGGCTGGAGGCGCCGCTCCCCCCGCTGGACTCAGTGCTGCAGCTGCTCCGGTCCTCCTCGAAACCGTCCAGCATCCCGAACGAGTCGCGCCGTTTCCTGCAGGGACGCTCCGCCTGGGGAGGAGCAGCTGCCGTCAGACACAAATAGTTTGGAGGCATGTGCTGCTCACAAATGGAACTTATGGCTGTGCATAGGTTGAACATAATTATCTTCTAGACCAGTGGTTCTCAAACTTTGTTCAATAATGTACCCCCTTTGAAAAAAAGATTCAGCCATTACCCCCTGATCAGCGCAAAAACATTTTGTTAAGGAAGAAACGCCTATATAAAGAGGTACAGTACAGCGCTGCACCATCAGTGTCTGATTTATTAAAACAACAACCTTGTAAGTGAGAAACACTTAAATGCTACATTTCAAATGTTTACAATCCATCACTAAATTCATGGCAAACCAATTTTAACATCATGCAATAATACTAAGACGACATTAGTTGCATTGAACTGATCTTTTTAATAAGTTGTACTTACAATGTATAGTGAAACATGGGCTTGTGCTTCACTGAGGATCTTTGTCATTCTGACAGGGAGGCCACTGCAGTTATTACACTTCGTGTTTTGAAATATGTGTAACTGTTCATATAAAACCCACACTGCTCAAACTTCGTTACTTTTCCTAAAATTGGAATATTTATTTATTTTGGGGCGTGGGGAATGTAGAGAAAAAAATATGAGCATTTTATGAGCATGGGATTTTGACCCCTCATATAAGCATATGCATAATGCTGCGCTATACTTTGCGGCCACACACCGTTGCCAAGCAACGCTTATTGTTTAGGTCCTTTGATAAGCAGGCAGTCATATAATTATGATAGATTTGGACAAAAACGCGAGTGAAGTCTAACCGGACGAGAGAGAGGGATCAGAGATCAGATCAGCTGCTGCTGACGGAGACCACTCAGCTCTGCATGATCACAGCTCCGCCGCTGTGACGGACCGTTGAGCGGAGCAACATTAAATACACTAAGAGTTAGACCTAACACACTTAGCTAGTTTATCTACTCTGGAACTAGCTAAACTAGTTATAAATATATTTATTCTTTATTGTCGGGTCACTTATTACAGGTTCAGCGAGCTGCACGAGACTGACGGGCTGTCAGGAGAGGGAGAGGAAAAGAGAGCACCCCGTTTATTTTTCCCATGTTATTATCCAGAGTTTCTGTAAACCTTTCAATAAAGTAGTTCATCTACTATTAGCAGTTTGTTTAAATGCATTACTTATGTTGTTTTTTTCATTAACATAAAATAAATCTCACCCCCTGCAGTACTCCAACATACCCCTAGGGGTCCGCGTATCCCCATTTGAGAACCACTGGGTACACACTTCCCCCCTGAAGCGCTTCCATTGGACTCCTATGTTCAATTCCTTACCATAGTGACCTCACTATGTAACACTGGCTAATACTGGCTTCTATTGGCTAGCACTTCAACACATTGTACGTGATTGGACCAATCACAACAGAGCCGGCAGCTAACCAATCAGAGCAGACTGGGCTCTGGTTTCAGACAGAGGGTGAAAAGAGGTGATGCAGAACAGGCCGTATGAGAAAAATAAAGAGCTTTTTGAACATTAAAGCATGGAGACATGTCAGAGTAGAGACACAACAAACAAATATGAACCCTATAATATGCATCATATTATATTATTAGTGTTTAAATAAATATTGTGAAATATATGTCATATGTAATCATCTTGAAATGCTATGGTTGATTAGGGGACAGATGTACGTTTAACATGTACAAATATGGTTGGTGTAGATGGTCCATGAGTAACTGGGAAAAATACAAAACATCACATTACATTACATTACATTGCATTTAGCTGACGCTTTTGTCCAAAGCGACTTACAATAAGTAATAAGTAAACAAAAATAATAATAATAAAGGTCCGCAACCAACAATTAAAAACCACTGAGAAATGTGAATTCAAACAATAAAACAAAGAATACAATTCAAATAAATTAAACACAAAATAATAATTGAGACAAACAGTCTATACAAAATGTTTAGACATGAATCTATTAGTAATACAAAACAATTATATTCATACAAATATAATTTAATATATAAAATTCACAGAGCTATATTTTTTGCATTATTCATACTTTTATGTTGGATTCTTTGAGTTTTGCTATGACTAGTAAGTTACATTCATTGCAGGAGTTTAACTTGTAGTGAAGACATTTTTATAGTGTGGTATACTGCAATTAAGGATCTGAAGGCTTAGTTTATTTGTAGGAAATATTAAAGAAACAATGGGATCAGTGGATACATTCTTGCCACTGTTTTAGTATTGTGCAGGATGATGCAGAAATACACAAGTCATCGTATAGTACTATATAAGTAGTAGTACCATTTTGAGAGTTTTGATTTTGATGATTACCGGGATAATATATTGAGTCAGTTCCAAGATATTATCCAGGGTAATCATGCCATGATATGTTCATACTGTCCCAAGCCTAGCTGCAGCCAATAATTATTGCCATTATTGATTCATCTGCAGATTAGTGTCAACTAATTTAGGCTATGAATTATCTGATTTCCCCCACAGTTCTGCTGCCAGCACCACTGCAGTGCGGTGCACAGAGAACAGAACAGGCATCTTGACTAGATGAGACACGAAATGACCTCCAAAATTCAGACCATTGTATATTCATTTGATTCTAGAAGAAAGGAATGTATACGTTATAATCAAAAGCCGGGTAGTATACGATTCGGCTAAAGCCCACCTTTTATTCGGCATACACTGAATACACCTAGCACAACAGCGTGTTATGGAAATTGCATCTTATTTTCTATGTATTCACATTGTCTATCACTGCTCTTCACTGTGCTCAGTGTTGAGCGTTATGAGACTGTACTGTGAAAACAGCTATACGATAATAAAGGGACATTTAACTGATTTACAAACTGCTTGGTAAAATAATTGCATGCATAATTAAACGGCGTCTTGTCCGTTTTAGTGACCAATTTAAAGTTCTGGTCAGTGAAATGTGTTCCCATTGTCAACCAGAAAGGAGACCTGATTTCGCTTGATTTTGCAGTGGAGTTCAGTGGATAGAGGTGTTGAGATCAGGCGAAGCAATTACAAAAATGCTCTGTTTATGAACGAATTAAATAGTACCTGGACGTATTCTGTATGCCGAATGATTGCCGATATTGAGCTGCTAAATACAAATTTGAATATTATATTAATGAAGGATATTTTATTGTGAGATAGCACTAGAACTTAAAAGTAGAGGTTTTCTCAAAGGAGTTTGGCCCTGACTCCGAGCGGTCTCTCTGAGGAATCCTTCAACGCCGCTGGTACAGCCACAACAAAGGACTTGAATGCGGGTTCCCGCCGGACAGACAAGCCGGAGAACTCACCAGATCTCTGGGGTTTTCCATCAGGCCGGGCCGCGGGGGGACTCTCACTGAAACCCTAAAACCCAGCAGCAGATATCGCAACAAAATGATCATACCTGCAGTGCGCAGGCGCCAGGACCGCAGCTGCTCATCTCCCATTGGCTGATGCCTCTGCTCGAGTTCAGATGAGGTGATGTGTCCACCAGTGAACCCTGCTGGACAGGAACAGAAACGTTTTGTCATTGACATAACAATAATTACTATTATTAAAAAAACAATTCAAAAGTTAATTATTATAATAATAATAATAATAATAATTAAAAAAACAAATATATATATTATACCTTTGTGTATGTAGCCATCAGGCTGCACAACCAGGGGTTAACAATGTAACAAATAAAAGTACTGTACATAAATCTGCACTGTTTGCGCAATAACTTTGACCTGCACACGTATGCAAATATATTTAACAATCCGGACTCAAATATGTATATATGTTCATTCAATTCATTTCTTATTTACACAGTTACTTACCTGTGTAAAACTTTTTTCTTTTAATTTAGGCTTTAATTGTATTAGTGGTGTCGGAATCTGTGCTGTCCTGTTTTTCAACCTCACTCTGTTGCTGCTTCTGAATTTCCCCCACGGGTATCAATAAAGGTCCATCTGGTCTTATCTTATCTTATAATATATTATCAGCTGTGTCTGGCAGTGGTATTGGTGTTAATATGATTAGTTTCTTATATGTCGAAGTAATCAATTACTTATGTATGTAACAAAAAGGAATAAGACAACAATATACAACTATTCTAGAAGAGTACTCTGAACATATTATCTGCAAGATGTGCAGTAGGCCTACTTAAAGTATTGAAAGTAAAGCTGGAGACAGTAGAGAACATTTTAAAGACATTATGGTTTATTGTTTTTTGTTCAAAAAATTGTTAATGATAATACATGTTTTGTAGCAACTTTTAAAACCCACTTTATAAAGTGCTTCACAAAATATAAAATAATTCAATAAAATGACACTTAAATAAATCATTCATCATACTTTTTACTGTATATATTGTTTGTTTGTAAAGTGAAACATGGACAGCTTAAGAAGCAGTTGTTCCTTTTAATGTACTCAGGTAAATGGCTGAAGCTAATTTTGAAAACTAGTACTTTGATAAAAACAACATAAGAAGGGAGTCAACTAAAATAGGGGATATGTAATAAAAAATGGTTTAAAAATATAATAAATTGTTAAAGAATTGATGCAGTAAAAGTCAATTTAAGTGTGTTTTGCGAAACGATTTAAAAGAGGATAAATATGTGGCTTGTGTTACATTCTTAATAGATTAACTAGTAATTAAAGCTTTCAGGAAAATGATATTGAGTCAAAGTTTAATATTTACTCTGAGATGTAGTACAAAATGTCAAACATTTAAAAAACTCAGGTAAAGTACCCCACAGCGTTGTACTGTAATGTAATAACTGTGCCAAGGCATTACAATTAAAAAAATATTATTTAATCCGTCATGTTTTTGTAAAATGTTACCATCCCTCCTTAACACAGCTTTTTACCTCAATTTAAAAATGATAGCCCAATATATTTCCATTATTCAGGGTTTTATGGTTTAGTGGGGCAGCTGCTTCTGAAGTGTGAAACTTTGATTTATATACATAATATGAACATATTCATATTTTAAATATTTAAAAAATGATCATTTTGTGTTAGAAGTGTTGCTTTGTTGAATAGAAAAATATTCCATGTTTAAAAGAGGAGCTTCCCATTTATTTTACATAACATAACAACATTCCAAATATAAAATGATAACATTGACACAATCTGTGTTTCTCTGTCTATAATACAACAACAAAAAACACATAATTGCTATTCAGCATAAAATAATATTCCCTAATAGATTTGTGTGCTGTATGTTAGTGTTACAATCCCAAAATAAGACTGAGGTTTATAAATGCAGAGTTTATATTTCTCTAAAAGCAAGAAAACACTACATTTGAATTTGTTTCCCCAATTGAATTTTGCATGGACTCAAAACAATTGCCGTGCTTTCCTTGTGTGATTTGTTGCTTTATATTCTGATGCATGAAATTAAAAATCCTTTCCACACCTTCCCACAACCAGATGTGCATATTAAATCCAGGTATATGTTCTGACAGGAGTCCTTTGGGCCTTCAGGTTACAGAACACAGTGATCCGAACATCTGCACGTCAAGTGAAAACCTGAATGTTGTTTTCTCACAAGCTTTACACTTAAATATGCTAATGAGGGGCAGGGCTGCATTGCTGGAACCTGTTTCTAAATGTCATGATTTAAAGGTTAGGATGATTAAACCTGAGCTCCATCAAGACCTGATATACATGTGAAAGAAACACTTCACACGCAAAGACTGGAGCTTAGACAGCTGCTGAAAAAAGAGATTTAGATGTGCAGCATTTAGAACGAGGCAGAAACTAACCTTTACACCTGTATTTGTGCAGAGAAAGGACACTTAAAGGAGCAGGGAGGAAGATGAGTTGACGTGATTGATATCCAGAAGTGAACACAAGTGAGTGGTGAGATGACACAGGTTTCTCCGTGCAGGCAGAGCATCCCATGCAGGGGTGGGTTACCGTGTTCATCATGGACCTGGAGTCTTGGTGCATTACCAGCACGGCTCCTGCAGCCCGGGCGCCGGACAGCAGCCGGAGCTTCTGTTTGTCCAGAGAGAGGCTCAGCATGCAGCCAGCTCTCAACAGCAGGCTGGCCTCGTACCTGCAGCAGGTAGGAGACGCATGAGATGAACATAATAGTTCAGCAGCAGCACAGAAAACACCAACATTTAAGTGCAGCTATGGAGCTTTGTACTGATCTAGGTTTTATGATTATTTCTACATGTATTTATATGCATCAACTTTTTATCTTTGATGCTTCAGGTGGAAATATTCCAAAACCTTTCCACTCTTCTCTCCGATGTATCTCGCAGCAGCACTAAAGCCAACTATAAGCATTAGGATTTATAAGTGTATTTTAATTATTGTTTTAAAGGGGGAAGGATATAAATAAAAGTTAGCAATTTCTCAACAGACTTCTTCTTTGACTGAGCACCGAATGTTGAAGCTTGGCTCACAGCAACACAGGTTAAGCCCTATTTATTAGAGTGTTTAAGTTTAGAAATTATGGGGGATTAATAATAGTTCTCCACCATATGTGTTCCTTTTGAATTTAAGCTCGAAGTTTCCTGTGAAGAACTATGTAATAGGTTATTAGCTGAAGTACACATATGTCAATTACATTTAAAAAATCTTTCCATTCTGCAACTTCATTTTTGTCCTTCATTGGATTCCACAAGGCTGTGACATTTGTATGTAGAGTAATGAATAACAACTTCGATTTTTTTTAAATATTACACATTACTTTTCACCTCCGATTGGTGGATGCAGGTCCAGAGTCTGGAGGTGACCAATCAGAGGCTGGAGTGTCAAATCCAGGAGGAGCTGGACAGGAAGTGTCCCCAAGAGTTGAGACACCTGGACGGACACCTGAAGGCGGTGTCCCTGCTGCAGGGACAGGTGACACAGAGAAACACTAATGATCCAATTTAATAACAATTACAGCAATCTGACTACCATAAGAAACCCCAAACAACGAAATACAAAATAAATAATAATAATAATAATAATGATAATAATAATGATGATAATAATAATAATAATGTTGGTTTACTGACAATACAATAAAAAGTAAAAGTAAAAAAAATAAGAAAAAAGTAAAGAAAATATGGTAAAATATATTAAAAATAATAATATGCAATAAAATAACAAGACAACAAGCAGATGAAGGCCAAATAAAGACAAGTTAAGGCTAAATATAGGCCAGATATAAATATAATATTGATCAGATAAAAAAAAGGCAAATAACGACCAAATAAAAGCAACATAAATGCAAGTAAAAGGCTAAATAAAGTACATAAAACGCTGAGAGAATGACCAGATAAAAGCCAAATATAGACTGATTACAGGCAAGGTAAAGGTCAAATTAAAACCAGATAAAGACTAAAGAACGATCAAATAAGGACCTAATATAGTCCATTCAAAAGCCACTCAAAATAAATTGAGCCAAATTACAATCAGTAAATACCAAAGTCAGGCCTGACGCAGCATGCAGGGGAATGGAGGTTTAGCATCTTCCTCCGGCGCTGACTCTTCAGGAAGTTTTGCTTCTGCTTAAAGGTTAGACAGGTTGAGACGAGTCTGACTCTAAAATGTCAACATTCAAATGTCAGAGATTAAACTTGAACTTCAACATGATCTGATCATTTATCAAACAACAACCTGAAGAGGTGGGGTAAGTGTTAGAAGTGCTTCATTGGATAGTGCCCTCCACAAGCCATGAGGCAGTATTCATAATTTATATATTCTAGTAACTTTCCCGTCATAAATACAAGTCACCTTTAAAGCCCCAATTAAATCTAGTATGTCCCCAAGTCAATACCAACATGTCAGAAAGTCATGTCCAAAATCAGGAACAATTTTCCAAATCAGGTCCCAAGCAACACATAAACATCGCAAATTAAGACCAACAAATCAAGACAGCGAGTTCCAAATAAGTCCCAAATCATGAAAAGCAAGTTTCAAGTCAAGAAAGAAAGTCTCAAATTATTATTATAACTAGTATTTATTTCCAACAAATCTAAAAACACTTGAGTTGAGAGCAATGAGTCAGAAAGTCCAGACAGCAAGTCCCAAATAAACACAGTCCAAAATGATTTCCCATGTCATGACCAACACATTCTAAATGGACCTTTACACGCCCCGAATCAGTAACAATAAACCAAAATCAGGTCCCAACAAACGTTGCAACTTAAGACCAAAATGTCCTAAGTCAATATAGTGTGTTCCAAAATAGATCCAAATCATGACAAAAAAGTCAAGACATCCAAGTAGACCATCTCCAGTCTAATAAGTCCCAAGTCAAAGCAAACCCTGCTTTTTGTTTATTTGACTAAGAATGGGAGCATCATTTCTAATAACAGTCCCGAATTCCAAAGTCATGAAACACAACTTCTAAAATGACCTGTGAGTTCTTAAGCTGCCTTCACATGATTTGCAATTTGCTCTTTGCTTACTGCTAGGTTGGGCGCAGAGCCAGTGAAAACAACTCTTTAAAGGTCACCTATTATACAAATCCACATTTTCATGTCTGTGATTAAGTGTCCCCTCTGTGTCAAGACATTTGAAAAGTTTCAGGAAAAAGATTCTCTCTCTTTTTGTCCTGATCCATACAAGTCTGAAAATGAGAAAAATGAGAAAAAAATGAGAAAAAAAAGTCGCCCCCCCCAACACAAATAGTCAGGTTCAGTGGCGGCGCCAGAGATTTCTTTTGGGGGTGCTGTGGGGTAGCTTGACGTTTCATAGAGGGTGCTCCAACATTTAGGGTTTCCCTTAATGTCCCGGTCGCTACAGTGGAATGTTCTACTGCAACACTCCCCACGCATATACACAACGTACCCGCAACTGTTACAATGAAGGCTCGATATGATAATCAGCTCACGGCATCTAGGCATGGCGTAAATCAAGCCAGGGTTTCTCTCTCCAGCTGAGAGCACGTCCACGTGAAAGGGGCGGGGTTAGCTACATTTGACCAGTGGCGAGCCGTCAGGGCCCTCTAGGCCCTCTCTGAGGGCCTAAGATATTCTAAAAAATAATATTTAAAAACATTTAAAAAATATATTATTTTTTTTAAATATATATTTTTTAAATATTATTTTTGTTATATTTTTACCGAAAAAACTTGATTTAATTGTATTTAAAATAAAATGTCCAAAGAAATAAATCCTTCGAATCTGCCTGTTCAGTTTCTGTTTGAATGTGAAGGGTTACATGAAAAAAGCTCGTCTGGCCCTCTATGCGATTCACAGAGGGCCCGCTATAGTAAAACAACGAGAGAGAGTAATGTCAAGTGACAGTACAATTGACCAATCATATCTTCCCTCTAAATGGGAGGGCTTTATTATCGCGGACTTTATGACAAGTTCCGCCCGCTGCGCTGCCAAGTTTATGCATGTGATATATCAACGGGTCAAGCTAGGCGGAATTAGCATAGGTTCATTCACGATGGCTCACGTTAGGATTAGTAATGACATCGTTGCGAAACTACTAACCGCGTTCTTTTTCAAGAATGAGTTACACGGATAAATTGGAGTTAATTACCAAAGGGCGACCAACACCACAGCTTTAATTTGGTTCAAAAAACCAACGGTTCGAGAGGCATTTTAATATCGGCCAATTACGCCAGATACAACTGGATGACCGGATCAACCAGGGAACACAAGCTGTACTGCTGGGATTGCTTGCTTTTTTGGAGCGGACAGTGGGTCATGGGCCAGAGATGGATATTCTGATTTAGGAAGTTTATCCAAATCAGCACATCGCCATCAGAATGCTTCAGGTCACCTCAGAGCTACTATTCGGCTTAAAACATTTGGGGACACCAGGATAGAGCTCCAGCTGGATGCGCAACAACGCGGTGGTGTCATCCCTTCATAATGAAAAGGTGAAGAGGAACCGAAGGAATTTTGAAACGCTGATAAATTGTTGTGGTGTGTACTTGGGCAAGCAAGGAGTTGCCGTTACGAGGTCACGATGAGAGTGTAACTTCATCAAACAAGGGGAATTACATAGAGTTGCTGGATTTAGTGGCAGATATTGACAGCGACCTGCACACACACCTCGCCACATCAACAGTATTTACCGGCACATCTTCAAGGATTCAGAATGACCTGATCAGCATGTCGCTAGTGTAATGACGGGTAGCATGAAAGAGGAGCTGAGGAAGGCACCTTTTGTCGCGGGTCATGTTGGATGAAACGACAGACATTAGCAACGTGGCGCAGATGTCATATGTGCTTCGATATGTCCACTGACGATGGGATAAAAGAGCGTTTCTTCAAGTACGAAGATGTGACAGAGGACAAACGAGCAGAGGCCATAGCTACACGGCTGCTGGGGAGTTCCTGAGGGAGAGTGGCTGTATTGACAAAGTGGTCGCGCAGTGCTACGATGGAGCAGCTGTTATGGCCTCTGGATTGAATGGGGTGCAAGCGAAGTAGTTAAGGAAACAATTCCACAGGCCCTTTTCATTCACTGCTATGCTCACATTCTTAAATCTCGTTTTGTCAAATGGAGCTTCCAAGATAAGAGGAGTGTAAGGTCTTCTTCTCCCACCTCTCTGGCTTGGCCACCTTTTTCAGCCGCTCAGCAAAGCGCACCAAGCTACTGGATGATATTTGCCAGCATAGGCTTCCACGGTGCAGCTCCTACTCGCTGGTGCTTTCATTCTTGCTTGGTGTGCACAGTGGCAGATAAGACCAGGGAATTGAGAGAGGTAAGATAATAATAACAATGAACGTAATGGAAATATAACAATAATAAAGAACTGATTTAGTGTTGGAAACTACCCACTCATAAAAACATGAAGGTAAAGAACTATGCTAGTATTACATTAAATGAAAAGCTAATCTTAGTGTTTTAACTGGAGGTCTATAAGTTTGTTTTTTTCTAAACTAAGCATTACTCTCGTAGGTGTTCGAGCACATCGTAGACCATCACACAGAGTTTGAGGACGAAACTGTTCATTGCTCTGATGGAGACATCACCCTCCTTACCAGCTTCGGCATTTCAGCTTTTGGTTGAAAACCTTCCACGCTATCTTCTCCTACTTGGATGTTGTTTTTTGAAATACTTCAGAACAAAGGTTTTGATATGCAGTTCTGCCTGGCCAGAGTGGATCAGCTACAGCGACAAATTGAACAGGAGAAGGGGAACTTTGACAGCGTCTACGATGAAACCCAGGCTTTGGTTGGTCCTCCGCGCGGCCGTGGAGCTCAAGGAGACGTTCGTGCACGGTACAGGGAGCTCCACTGCAGCGTAATTGACAGCCTGCTAACCCAGATTTCCAACCGCTTCAGTGACCACAAAAAGCTGGAATTCCTGGCCCTTCTGGACCCGCAACAGTTCGGGCATTACTGTAACTATTTCCCAACTGCTGCCTTGAACAGTTTGATGGAGAGCTATGGCGGATATTTCGACCAGCCTCGACTGCACACGGAACTCGCCGTGATGTACGGCATGTCTGACATTTTGGGGAAAAGCCCAGCCGACATTCATCAGTTTCTCCTCAAAAAAGGACTGAGTGAAAGCATGAAACAGGTGTACACCCTCTCATGCATCATCCTGACAATACCTGTGTCCACTGCCTCTGTGGAGAGGTCCTTCTCTGCGCTGAAGCGCATAAAAAGCTACTCGAGGTCCACGACTGGGCAAGTCCGACTGTCAGACTTGGCCTTAATTTCGATCGAGAAGGAATTGCTGATTGCTTTAAAAGCAAAGGATCACCTGCATGACGACGCCATCAAGTTCTTCATCCAAAAAGACAGGAGGATGGACTTTGTGTTTAGGTGATTTGATCATCAAAGGTAAGTCAAAGTGATTTTCAATGTGGGCCGCCGTGCCGACTTAATTCATTTGTAATTGTTACTTGGCTGTGGGTGCCCTGTCATGATAGGTGTTTATATAAATGGTGTTGTTTTGTGTGGTAGAGGGTCGCTGTCATTGATGCGTTTTGCACCCCGGGCCGCTGTTTTGATATTCCGCTGAAGTATACTATAGGCTGTGACGTAAAAACGTTTTCTTTTCTTTTTCGAGGGAAGAGGCGGGTGGGGTCAGAGGGCCTAGGTAGAAAGTCAAGGCTCGCCCACCTGCATTTGAACCAATCACAAACAGGGGACAAGTGTTTACTGACAGCACAGCGTCATACTTCTTGAATGAAAAGTAAACTAATATTAGACAAATATGAACTTTGAACCATCCATGACTTTGTGGCGGGTGTGGTGCTCATGTAGAATGCTTGGTTTGCTGACAACGCCACCTGGGGAGTTTCGCCCCAGGAAATTACTAAAAACTAAAGTTATACAATTTAATAAAGGCAATCAGGTTCGTTTGAACACCACAGGCACAGACAGTATAAAGGATATGACAACAATTGTTATTTATTGGTACATAATTATATTCCTAATAGTACACAATATAATGTTATAAAAGTTCTCCAGGGAGGAGGGAGGAAGGACAGTGCTGGGGCTTACCCACGGCGGCAATTAACAAAACGGGGAGGAAGGGGTCAAATCAAAATCACCCGTGACACTGCACACCAAACAAAACGGACACGTGAAGAACCACACCACCAGGGATTGGGTTTGCCGCCTCGAGCCCACAGCACCTGTCCGGCACAAGAGAAACAGTTAAAAATCAGTAAGATTATAAAACTTGGTTGGATATGAATAAACAAAAGGAAACAACTAAAATAAACCAAATCTAAATAACCTTAAACAACAAAGACTTGAGTAAACTAATTAAACCAAACGTTAACAAAAGAAAATAAACAAAATCACACAATAACAAAATACTATGAATGTACTCAAAACATGAGATGCACAAAACAGCTAATCAAAAGAAATCAACTAAACATAAGTGTCCTTGCAATTCCGCGACCTAAAAACGGCCCTGGTGACAGTCCAACACGGAGTAGTCAGGGCCTGTCAATTATATGACGCCACAGCTCGGTGCGAGAGCTCGCCGAGCCAAAACAGCAGGAAGGGGGGAATGATGACCAGAGGTGGGGAGAGTGGTTACGGCGCCCCAACTTTTACAGCTAGGCGCTGCCCACAGAGCCCACCAGGAAGGGAGAATGTTTATGGCACCCAAGCCTGTGCGGCCAGTTGCAGCCACAGAGCCCACAGGGAAGGGAGAGAGAGACGCAGATTTGTCTCCTCCACTTAAATAGCAGGTGCGCAAAATTGCAGGTGCGCTGGCATGGTGCCAAGCAGCGTCACAGAGGGAGGAGACGTGATGTCCGGTCACAATTTAAACATATAATCCAGGATACGAGCCACATAGGTCATAGATCTCCTGCAAGGAGAATACAGAACAACTCGTTAAAAAATAAACTACCGAGTGTTTGAAAACAGTTTTATGATATCACTGCCCCATCTAAGATACGAGTGGATCTGACTTTAATTACATTTGAGTTGAGTGTTTCGTCAATTTAATGTGTTGCTTAAAATAATACGTCTGCATACAGTAGGTATGTGACAATGTAAGTGTTGCACGGCCAGATACGGCTCAGCTGACTCAGATAAGGAAATATTGTGATATTATATGATCGATGATCTGATTGAATTATGTGATATCAGTGTGATATGAATGATAAGTGCGACACGTCGGGCGTCTTCTCTGCATACGGCAGTTTAAACTGTATTTCCTTTTTCCTGTAATATGACTTGATAGATTTAAAACTCCGCACACTGAGCTCGGATGGTCAGCAGGGCGGTGCTTTCACTGAGTTTATCTATTTTCTATAGATGCCGGAGGCGGGCAGCGTCAGGTAAAAAAAGAAGTTATTTAGCCTTCCCAAACCTGAGCCTCACGCGCCGCCTATGCATATAGGGTGTAAGCAGAGGTAAAGTGCTATTTGTATAGGTGGTGTGTGGACCTCCTCTAAGGGGGCAAGCTCCCCATGGGAAGACTTTTAAATATTGAAGTTAAAAGCATCAATCTGGTGCACTTTGGAGAGCAAAATGAAGAGATCTATGGATACCTCTCTCAACACCCATTTGAAACAGAAACTGTAAACAGATTTACTTTTTCTTTATGGATATTTTACAAATCACCCTTTTAAACTTTATACTTTTTTTAATGTCATATTATTTCATACTTGTTTTTAATTTATTCTCTTATTGTTTTATATCTATAATGATCATATAAACGTGTGCCTCGGAGAATAATGTTTACATTAATGGTGACCAAAATATTTGAGACCCACTGAGATAACACTGAGAGAGTCCTTTAGCTCACTGAGTTCTCTCAGTCTGACAGGAGAACGACTCTCCTCCACCTTGTTGTTGAAAAAACTCCTTATATCCGTTAGCGTAGCTCGCTAGCACCAGAAGCTAACAACAACGATCTTCCGGTACCGGTGCTATGAAGGTAGATATGGTGCAAAATGCGAGAGCGTGTAAACCTGATGTGAGCACTTGCAGAAAAAATCTGAGCTTGTGTGCATACATTTACACTTGTATAACATATCCACGTAACTGTGAACTAAATGTACACTTGTATAAAATATCCACGTAACTGTGAACCAAATTTGAAGTCACAGAAGAAATATTTTTTTTACAACTTCACGAATCTGCTCTGTGGCAGTATACATCGACGAATCTCGGCGGTCTTGACTTTTGCTACACTTCTTGCGATAATGTGTCGCAAAAGTAATTTTCACCTGTAGATGTGGGGGAGGGAGGGGGGTTGGAGCGAAGGGGCGGAGCTATCAGAACAACGAGGCTTGGGTCCAGTCACACAGTCACTCACAGCCACAGTCAGGTCGAAGCGGATGACTGCAGGGCTAACGGTTCGCTAACGGGTTCGTGTCGCTACCGCTGACATGGCGCGTCAATCAACGGTAAGTTTTGCCCATTACTTGCCCAGTATTACTTGGAATATTATTATTGTGATTGAGGATTAAATCCGCTTTGAAGACCACCGTTTTATATCGTGCAGTTTAGCGGCAAAAAATAACGTCAGTTAGCCAGCTAACGCTAGCTTTGTTTGAGTTTATGCTAGCTAAACAAGTAGTGGTTGTAGTCTCTACAGCAGTTGTTTCTCAAACTTTTTCATACCAAGGACCACTTAACCAATAACAAACACTCGCGGACACCTAACTCCACAAATATCCAAAAACACATCGTTTTTTACAAATCGCCTGAAAATTGTACAAACAAGTGGCAACATGTGTGGATGAAGGTGTTTATCTGGGTTATATCATGCAATCAAAAGTGAAACTTAAGCTCGCTCCATTGCGGTGATATTCCCGCGAGAGTGTGGAAAACTTTAATTAATAATTAATTAATTAAAAATGTGACATTTTACCAATATACTCACGGACCACTAGGGGGCGCTCACGGACCACCAGTGGTCCGCGGACCACACTTTGAGAAGCACTGCTCTACAGCAATAATTCATATATATAGCCTACTGCTTTGGCACTAACGGTTGGATAACCGTTTATGAAAATAAAACCAATTGAACTGTACTGAAATAATGACAAGTTTTATAATTGTCTTGTGCTCCTGCTGTGTTTTTAAAGCCTTTGTAAATTATCCATGCTATTTAGCTAACGTCGAAGTAGTGTATGTGAAATCAACCTCACAATAAGATTGTGTGTATATTACAATTATTAATGTCATATTTCAAGATGATTACAATATGGTTGGGTTGAGCTGGAGTTCATTATTGAGCTTACACGTTAACGTCACAGTCATCTGAAGAACGAACCCAAACCTTGTTGTTTTTATTAATTGCATTACGAAATGGGTATCAAATAAACAGTAAGCATTGGTAACCCAACTTCCAAAGTTACAGTAAAATAAAAAGGACCCTGACTGGGATCATACACAATCCAACATGTTCAACAGAAGAGAATCAGTATATTGTTTGTACACATGGTACTTTACATATATATATCTGTTGGTTTAAGGTGTCCAGGTGATGCAGACAGGCTGGACCAGAGAGTGAGAGACAGAACTGTACTCCTCACAGCAGTGAACTTCAGCACAGTACAAAGACTCTTTTTTTCATACTGTACAAAGAATCAAGAAAAAATATTGGTTTAAATAAATGAAGTATTGACTTTAATACACTGATATACATTCCATTAAACAATACTACATACTAGATCACCTACACAATCAGTTAAGTTTGAGGGTTTTTTCCATGCAAAAGGTTACATTTAGATGTTAACAAGCAATATGACTTTGTCAGCTTTCTAATTTAATATATTGAAGGCAAAGCTATTTTAACACATAGTGAGAACTGCTACTATTTATCTCTCAATATTGTCTGTAAAAACGTGGTAAAAGTTATTCTTTCAGTGAGACAACAGAGCAAGCTTCTACAGTTCCACTACGTTTTGATAACAGTTACATATTATTTTGATAATAACATATATTTCAATGTTGATGAATTTCATACTGTTCATGTCATAATCTGATTACAATGAATACATAATTATATCAACAGCCCCCTAAACACACCTCTTTCATAAATAACACACTTGTTCTGCAATAATGTTTATGTTTCCTGTCATTTTTGTTAGGAAAGGACATGCCCGAAAGACACGACTCAGCATCTCCTCTTTCTCTGAGGGTCAAGAAGAACATCCAAGAGGAACCTTAAAGGCTGATGTTATGAGATTTAAGACCAGTACAGGACATTCACTAAGAAACTACTTATATTGTGAAAACAAAGATCTGCACACTGAATATTTTTGTAGTCTATCAGGACCATCATTTGTTTGTGACGCTGCCTGAACCTCAGAGAAGGGGTGGTTATAGTCAGGCTTATAAAGTGTGGTGAAAAACACAGTCAGCTGATGGGATGCATCTATTTCCACATCTACACTCCATCAGCTGATTATTTCTATTTGCCTCACTTTATGAGTTTCACATCACTTGTACCTTGTACCGCAGAGTTTTGCCAACATCACAAATAAATGGGGCCAATCTTCAGTCAGATGTGAATGTGTAATCTAACATTTTCAGTAAGAATAATGGACGAAAGGAGTGCAAAATACAAATACAATTTATTGAAATGTGAACCAAAAGTTAATCAAACATGTTTTAAATAAAAAGCACATATGGACAGAAGGTGTAAACCTATTAAATGTATAAGTAAACAGATGTAGTCAAATAACGTGACAGAACTAGGCCTGTGCAGTTGGTATCAGCTTTACCCAGCATGGGCTCCTCCATCAGGCCTGGTCCTCCTCGCAGAGGAAAGACCCTCAGTCCTCTCCAAACCAACAGACAGGATGTCCATCACACGGAGGTTTCTCCCTGAAGTCCTCTGCAGCCCTCTGGACCACCACACTGTCTCAATCCGTCCACACTGAATATGTGACCCGCTCTATCAAAATCAGTCGGAAGTCGCAAACGGCTCATTTCAAAATAAACGTGGATTTGCGTAAAAAACCATTTGTTTCTGGGTTTTGGGTGTTTTGTTTGATTTTAAACAAACAAAGTCTTGGCTTTCAGAATATGAAACTTTTTATTTCCAAACTCCACACGATAAATACATTCTTTAAGCTTGTAAAGGGAAGATGACAGGCAATCTGCTCTTTCCGCAGCGCCGCCCCCCCCTCCCTCCGGCTGACATTATGAATGTAAGCGTAGAGTAATCATAAATAACACGGGCAGGGTCCGTTACAGTTTGTTTTCATCTGATTTATTAAACAAAGTCTTGCTTTCAGAATATTTAAACTTGTTTCGGCAAATTCAGATGATAATAAATACAACTTTAAAGCTTGTAACGGCATAATTACCAAGCGTATAGAACGGAGTAACTAACGTCACAGCAGGCCATAACAACAGCCGGTGTTTCTCGTGAGGGTTTTCCCCGGGAAACAAACGCAAATACACACAAACGCAAAATTACACAAACACACACACATATACACGCACACACTCGCGATCTTCCCCCAGACCAGTAATCCAAACGAAAATATCTTCCCTCCGTAGTATTTTGATCATTTGCTCCGCTAATAATCAATCAGATCGATGGATTCCAGGAGAAGAGGAAACTTTGAAGGCCTTTTCTCAAAATGATGACTCGGTGACAGTCATATATAATGTGACATTTCGTTAATATTTGGAGTACAAAAACAATCCTGATATCATTAGAAAGCTAGGAATATCCTCTTTCCAGCAGTGTATACAACTCCAAAATGTGTCTTCGGGTCAATGCGACTGATTTCGATAGAGCAGGTCACATATGAGAGGGGGAAAATGAAAATAATAAATGCTTTAGACAATAAGAAATATAAAGTTCACTGTTGAGTTACTCAGTTTTTTAGATATTGATTGATTGATTGATTGAAACGTTTATTAACAGCTTGTATATTGGGTACAGTACAGTACAGCTCAAAACATACAATTGTTAAGGGGATGCAGACCAGAGAAAGGACTTTCGTCTTGTTTACATCAGGGTCCCCCATTTCCAATTCATCATGTCATTTAAGACATATAAGACATATTTGACATACAGATGGCTTATTTACAATTTACATACAGGTGGTTTTTTTTACATACAGATTGCTTGTTACAATTTTCATTTTAGATTTCGTTCTAATACTTCCTAACCGGACATTTAAGACATACCAAGTCTACAGATATACAGTTAGTAACAGAGTCTAAAATGCGAGTATATACATAGATGGGGGGGGGGGGAAAGCTGTCCATTGAACGACAGGTTGAGATTTGTACCATTACCTACCGGGGCAAGTTTTGCAATGCTCTCCCCGAAGGTGCTCTTTAAGAGAGGTTTTGAAGGTAAGTATAGTTTTACTTTCCTTTACAGTTGTGGGAAGAGCGTTTCCACCTTGATGTGGCATAATTGCGAAACGTGTATTCCTCCCCCCTTTTTTTTTGCCAAATCTGGGTTTCACATGATTTGTGGAGCTCCCTCTGGTGTTATGATCATGGTATTCCTTGACCTTTGGGAAGAATTTTGACATGTACATGGGTACCATAGAGGTGTAGTGGATCTTGTCGACCAGGCCCATTGCAAGTAGCTGTACTCTGTCGTCTACTCTAAGCCATCCTAGGTTGTTCAAAGTGGGCAGAGGTGAGGTGGGTTCTAGATGAAAGGTCAACGCAGTAGTCTGACCAGTTTATTTTGCGATGTTTGAAGTTTTATTTGTAGCGCCTTGGAGGTGCTATGGTACCATGACGTTGCAAGCATAGTCATAGTACCCTTGAATGAGTGCTCCTGCCAGAGTTTTCAGGGTGTTTTTGTTACCAGAGAGGAGATCCGGTATAGGAATCTAGTTCTTTGATTGACTTTTTTTTATTACATTGGATGCCATTTGTCACAGGAGAGGTTTGCCTCAAGAATAGATCCTAGGTATGTAATTTCCTTCTTACTTGTGACAATAATGTCGCCCACTGCAACTGAGAAGTCGTCGGATTTGCTGAGATTATGTTTCGAAACCGAAGAGAATGGACATCTGTTTTACCCAGGTGTAATGATAATTTATTATCGGCGAGCCAGGTGCAGATACTGCCCCGAGCTCGGAGCTGAGGGTTTTTTCAACCTGCAAACCTGTTCCTGTCAGAGACCAGGCAGGGCTGAGTCGTCCGCGAACAGGAACAAGTTGCAGTCACATGCTGATGACATGTCATTTACATAAATTAGGAACAGTAACGGACCTAATATGCTTCCTTGTGGAACACCACAGCTCACTGGGAGGGGGGGGGGACAGAGTACCGTTTACCTCCACCATCTGTTCTCTCCCCTCCAGGTAGGATTGCATCCAGCTCACCGATAGTTTATCAAAACCAATTGCTTTTAGCTTGTCAATCAGAATGGGGTGATTGACAGTGTCGAAAGCCTTTTGTAGGTCCAGCATCACCATGCCGCAGTACTTGCCCTCGTCCACCTCTTGTTTGATGTGGTCGCTCAAATAAAGAAGGCATGTGTCAGTGGAGTGGGATGTTCTAAAGCCAGATTGAAATTCATAGATTAGTTTCTTTTCCGCGAGGTACTTTTCGACCTGTTCATATACTATTTTTTTCCATGACTTTCGAGATGGAGGTAAGTATAGAAACAGGCGGTAGTTGCCTGGGTCCAATTTGCTGCCCTTTTTGTGCAGGGGGGTTACTCTTGCAATTTTGAAGTCTTTGGGTACTTTTCCCTGTTTTATGGAGAGGTTAATTATGTGAGCTATGACTGGTGAGATGGCGGTTGCTGTGTCTCTGAGGAATTTGGAGGGGATATTGTCGTGGCCAGTGGCCTTGTTAGGTTGGAGGGCGCTCAGTTTAATGAGTACCTCTGCTGTTGTTACCCTTGCTAGACTGAAATCATCTTTTGCGTACCCCTAGGTTTTTGTAGTAGGTCATGATGTGATCTACTCCAAAAAGCCCTGAGTGGGAGGGTAATTTATTTACGAGAGTTGTGGCTATGTTTGTGAAAAAAAATGTTCAAGTACTTGGCCACATCCAGTTTGTCTGTGATGAGCCTGTTATCTGTCTTATGTTTAAGTTAGAAAATCTCGTTTTGAGTTTTTACTGCAGCCAAGCTGGTTATTATCAATACTATTACTGTATAACTAATATCTCAGGTTAAGAGGCACATTCAAATAAAGATTGGTCTTTAAATACATTTTGTCTTTTGAATTGTTTTGTTAAAGTCAAGGATCTAGAACTGGGTACTTAGTTTTAATGTATACAGTCTGGTTATTATGCTGTTTGGAGGAGGCCTCACAGGTAAGAGTACTAACTAGCTACCATCACATGTACCTTAGCTTGACTTAAATGTATTAAACGTATAATTAAGTGATATCCAAATATAAATAACTAATGTCATGCAAACATATTAATATTTGCTTGATTCCAGAGTTGAATTTAGCACAATTGCATACAAACGTGAAGGGATTTTAAGATTCTGAAGTCTTCGTTCTAAATAGAAAATAGCATGGATAATTTACAAAGGCTTTAAAAAAC